GCAGACCGTCGAGTGCTAGAAACTCAGTTAGCTCGCCAATAATAGCCCGGAATTCATCATATGGAAGATCACCGTATTCACGGAGACTCTCTGATTTCTCAACTTCTGATTTCAGCCTCTCCATTGAAGCTACTTCCTACCCGAACTATCGACATGAGAAGCTGGCCTTTAAGGATCAAGCCAATTCGTTCTGGCGACTAGCTAAAATGAACTCTCCGGAGTGGAAATATGCTCTTCTTGGTTCAGTAGGCTCTGTCGTTTGTGGCTCCCTCAGCGCGTTCTTCGCATATGTCCTCAGCGCAGTCCTAAGCATCTACTACAACCCTAACCACGAATACATGATCAAACAGATTGATAAGTACTGTTATCTCTTGATCGGTCTCTCTTCTGCAGCACTTGTTTTCAACACGCTCCAGCATTCTTTCTGGGACATCGTAGGTGAGAATCTGACTAAGAGGGTCCGTGAGAAGATGCTCAGCGCGGTACTCAAGAATGAGATGGCTTGGTTTGATCAAGAGGAGAATGAAAGTGCAAGAATCGCAGCACGGTTAGCTCTTGATGCCAATAATGTTAGATCCGCCATAGGAGATAGAATCTCGGTTATTGTGCAGAACACAGCACTGATGCTCGTTGCTTGCACTGCCGGGTTTGTTCTACAGTGGAGACTAGCACTCGTCCTCGTTGCAGTCTTCCCCGTAGTTGTTGCCGCAACTGTCTTACAGGTTTGTGTTGTTGCAAAGCAAATGTACACTCTTATTGCTGTTCATGATTCTGATACTTTGTTTGTCTTTTGAACAGAAAATGTTCATGACTGGATTCTCGGGAGACCTGGAAGCAGCGCATGCCAAAGGAACACAGCTTGCTGGTGAGGCCATAGCCAATGTCAGGACAATCGCGGCCTTCAATTCGGAGGCAAAGATTGTGCGTCTCTACACTGCAAACCTCGAACCACCATTGAAACGCTGCTTTTGGAAAGGCCAGATCGCGGGAAGTGGCTATGGTGTAGCTCAGTTCTGTCTTTATGCATCTTACGCTCTCGGGCTATGGTACGCGTCGTGGCTTGTGAAACACGGCATATCTGACTTCTCTAAAACCATAAGAGTCTTCATGGTTCTGATGGTCTCGGCCAATGGTGCAGCAGAGACACTCACACTGGCTCCTGATTTCATCAAAGGTGGTCAAGCAATGCGATCCGTTTTTGAACTTCTTGACCGGAAAACCGAGATTGAACCTGACGATCCCGATACCACCCCAGTCCCAGACCAGTTACGCGGCGAAGTGGAGCTCAAACACATTGATTTCTCTTACCCTTCACGACCCGACATCCAGATATTCCGTGACCTTAGCCTCCGTGCTAGAGCTGGCAAGACTCTGGCTCTTGTGGGTCCAAGCGGGTGTGGAAAGAGCTCGGTTATCTCACTTATCCAGAGATTCTACGAACCATCCTCAGGCCGTGTCATGATTGACGGGAAAGACATAAGGAAATACAATCTGAAATCAATAAGGAAACACATAGCCATAGTCCCTCAAGAACCATGCTTGTTCGGAACCACCATTTACGAGAACATCGCATACGGACACGAATGTGCGACCGAAGCAGAGATCATACAAGCCGCGACTCTAGCCAGCGCTCACAAATTCATATCCGCATTGCCTGATGGTTACAAGACGTATGTCGGTGAAAGAGGCGTTCAGCTCTCGGGAGGACAGAAACAGAGGATCGCAATCGCGCGTGCCCTTGTGAGGAAAGCAGAGATAATGCTACTCGACGAGGCCACAAGCGCTCTTGACGCAGAGTCCGAGAGGTCGGTCCAAGAAGCATTGGACCAGGCTTGCTCGGGTAGAACATCGATCGTAGTGGCTCATAGGCTATCTACAATCAGAAACGCGCACGTGATCGCGGTGATCGATGATGGAAAAGTCGCGGAACAAGGATCGCATTCACATCTTCTCAAGAACCATCCTGATGGAATCTACGCGCGGATGATACAGTTGCAAAGATTTACGAATACTCAGGTGATCGGTATGACATCAGGTTCGAGTTCTAGGGTTAAAGAAGATGATGCTTAGTACTTACTACTTTGGTCATATAGAGAAAGAAGAAAGAACAACAAACACCAGAAGATGTTCTGAACAAAAACTCTACGAACTC